ACGCTGTGGAGAGGGTGAGCAGCTTCCGTTTCCTTGGAGTTCATCTGACTGAGGATCTTACGTGGTCAGTGCACACGGAAAATACAGTGAAGAAGGCACAGCAGCGCCTCTTCTTTCTCAGCAGACTGAAAAGATTTGGCATGAGCCGCCACATCCTCAGGACCTTCTATCACTGTGCCATTGAGAGCATCCTCACTGGCTGCATCTCCGCCTGGTATGGCAACAGCACCGTTTACAACCGCAAAGCTCTCCAGAGAGTAGTGCGATGTGCTGAAAGGATTATTGGAGGTGAGCTTCCCTCCCTCCAGGACATCTATAAGAAGCGGTGCCTGAGGAAAGCGGGGAGGATCATCAAGGACTCAAGTCACCCCAGCCATAAACTGTTCAGACTACTTCCATCAGGAAGGAGGTTCTGCAGCATCCGGTCCAGAACCAGCAGACTGACAGACAGCTTTTTCCATCAGGCCATCAGACTGTTGAACACGGCGCAGACACCTCACCCTCACTACTGAAACTCCAACATTACACACTCCATACTGTACATTAATGCCACTGTTTTGCACATACCAACCTCTGTACATTTTATATCTCTTATCTTATTGTTTACTTTATTAATTTGTATACTTAGATTAGCCATTTTTAAATTTTACTTGTTTTTACATTACTGTATTTTTGCAAAACTCTGTTGCTGTGAAGCTCGCACACAAGAATTTCACTCGCATGTACTGTACCAGTGTACCTGCACATGTGACGTGACAATAAAAGTGATTTGATTTGATTTGATTTGATTTACTTGGCCAATCTGAACGTGCCATGTTAAGGGGTGTTAACAGCAAACCCTCAGAACATCACACCTTCTTTCAAAAACAGGATGCTCTGATTTGTGGCTAAGAAAATATCTATGTGCAGTGACGTTACTTTAACTTTAATTTATCTCTAATGAACACTGGGTCTGAGTGTAGATAATGATTCACTTGTTAAACCAAACATTACTGATCATCATATATAAATCTTTCAATGTAATAATAGTATTCATTTCAACTTCAGTAATTCAAGCACAGATTAATCAACCGTATTAATTTAAGCACAGACTAATCAAAACATAATTATTAATCAACCATTATTCAACCATATGATTATTTACTATTATAACGATTCAGTCCTTTTTTTCTGTGCAGGACAGCCTAGATAAGCAGAAAGGCTTGGCAGAGAAGAACCTTGAGAAGGGAACATGATGTTGACAATACAATACGTTATGTGTTCAGAGCTGCAGAACCTTCTGGGCTTGTTGGACGGTAGAATGTAAAATCCACCATAGAGAATAGAATTTATGTTTGTAGATGACCGGTGGCATGTAGGTCAATCTGTAGGTGAAACTGACCATTCCTGGATGTTACACTGGTCGAAACTTCCAGAACCTACCCTAACCAAACCACCTTCCCAATTTGCTGTGTTCATTCCCATCCTGCAAACAGACGTGCATTGTTTTTCATGCCAACAGAGGACATTTTCCAACAAGAACAAAACCCGACTCTAAATACAAACTTACAAACAACCCCGTTAACGAAATTGGCAAACAGAATGGACTTCTTTTACTGTCGGGCTGCTCCGAGCTGAGAACGTGCAATTCATGCATATAAAGGGGACAAGGGTGGAGGATGGATTACGATCCAATCATTGAGAGCGGGACGTTCACAATGTTTGGGTAAGGTTTTTCCAGGATTGTCTGTTTTATGCAATTAAAAACAATTTATTTTTTGACAAAAAGTTTATTTCATTGGCTGCCATCAGTAGGTGAAGAACATTTCAAGCGGTATGTAAAAAATATGTATCCTAGAAAAATCATATAATATTGCACATTTTAGGGCATAACGCAGAAAACAAACAGTTTGCAGTTTTGTCAGAAGTTTGACATTTTGATGCAGTTTCGAAAGTTTTGGTGGCTAACAAATCAGCTTGGCACAAATGAAGTAAAATAGAAACCTAAAAAAATAAATAATAGCTCTCTTTAGTCCAGGTGGTCCAGTTGATGCTATATCCAGCAAGGTTTAGTTTTCTTCTTGCTGACTGAGTCAGTTTTATTTTGCTTGTTTGTTTAAAGCAGCAATGTCTTTGACTTTAGGGTCGCCTGATGGAAGGAGATGGACATCATCTGAGTGTGAAGGCAATGCATTTTCTTTTTTGTCACATGACATGCATTTATTTACTGGGCTACTGATATCAGTGGGAATAAAAACAGTTCAAACTTTCATAACACTTTACAATAAGGGTCCCTTTTTTACTGTGTGCATTAATAAGCAAAAACAAACTATTACATGTAGTATTAACCCTTTACAGGGCACTCATTGAAGTATTTTAATTTTTTAAATTTCAACCCCTAGGGACTTATTGTAGTCCATAACCAAAGTGTATTTCTGTTGTTACAATTTTCATAAATATGTATTTTCATGCATAAAATCAGAGAAAAAGTGATCAAATATGGACGTTGGCCCTGTTGTGTACAAACGTACCTAAATCTCCTATCTTCCTCATTCTGATGATGCAATAGAGCTCCGGGAGTTGACGTCACTTCTCCCAGCATGCAACAGTTCAAATCGAAACGGCGCCATCTTGGCAGGTAGAAGCCGGCAGCTGGACTATTTGTTATTGTCAGAAAGCTCAATCAGACAGGAAATGTGGTAGATTCCTGTTGTACCCCAGGATGCAGAAAAGACGCGGACGACATAAGGGATGAGCCATCTACAGGATTCCCCAAGATCCGGAGTGCCGCAAACGTTGGATCATTGTAATAAAACGCGCTAGTGACCGGGCTGAAATGAAGCTGTGGGATCCCGAGAGTAAAGGTTTTGGCTTATGCAGCGATCATTTCATAACAGGTACTTAAACCAGCGTTTCCTCAACTGTGTATGGTATTTATTTTAAATGCTTTTATTACGATTCTTAGTGGGCTTCCTAAACTTATTTTGGCGTGGCTTTTTCTGTCTTATTACTCATAGCAGCAAGTAAACATCACGTAAAACGTTGCCTCGTGAGTTCTGCGTGCTGCCGTTTCCGTGTTATATGATGACAGCAATTAACCGGCTAAGCTGTATTTAATTTTTAAGCAATGGTTGATCAACTGTCATATCACACATAAAAAGCACTTCGGATTGCTATTATCTGTCTCACTGAGACAGATCTCAGACAGATCCTGAGACGCTCCTGCCTGACATTTTTATTTTATTCACGGAAAACAATCAAACTAGTGATTTCTCTTGGCGTTCAGTTTATACATTCAAACAGCACAGCACTCTATTTAAACTACTTACGTGTAAATCTGTTATTTGTCCATCCATTTTCATCCGCGTATCCGGAGTCGGGTTGCGGGGGCATGTAGCGTTGAGAGTCCCAGACTTCCCTCTCCCCAGCCGCCTGATGAGCCAGCTGCTCCGGGGGAATCCCAAGGGGTTCCTCGGCTAGGTCCGGTAAGAAGTCCGCTCCGACAGCTTCTGGCGTTTTAAAAAAGTATCCCGGGGCACGGTAAGGGTCGGAGATGTTTAGTCTATTTAATTTCTGACTATATAAAACGATATCTTCGGTTTTAAAGTGTGAAGTAAACTCCGACGAAGTAAAATCCAAGCTGATCCCGTTCACGTTCATGTTTACATCTGTGTTTGTTTAGCTTCTTTTACCTGCCAATATGGCGTCTACTAACTGAGAGTCACGTGGGGTCCGGAGCTCTATTGAACCAAACAGTCTTCACCATGTCTAGAGACCTAAATAAAGTAATTTGCATCTACCTGTGCAAACTCTAACAAGTCCTCGTCCAATCTTCGTAAGCGAGTGTGTATGTGCGGTGGGGTGGGGATGGTGGATACTTAGCTCCCCATACTTCAAAACCTGCTGGTTCTAATCCAGTTCTAAAAAAACCATCTCAACCACAACATGTTGAACCTTGAAGAGGACCACACTGGCTGTCTCTGATGTTAGACAACACTTCATTAGGTCTGACTATTTTAAATGTGAGGATACATCCGGCTTTGTAAAAACTAGTTTGGATGCTGCTAATGCTGCTAATCCAACAACCTACCTGAGTATTGCTGCTGACCATGTCTATCCCTTTCAAACCACAAGGAACTATCTTCTGGTGGCTATTTCCAGCAGGGTACACCATTTCACAAAGGTCAGGTTTGCAGCTTACAAATATCTAAAAAGTGCATCTTTCTATTGTGTCACAGTGGGTTAAACTAGTTTCCACCATCTTGTTGAATGTATGACACAAATGTGAATGATATCAAAATAAAGTTAAATCTGATACTAGTAAGGTGTACCTAATAAAGTGACTGGAGAGTGTTTATCTTCAGCACTGACATATCATATAAATAAATAAAAAACTGAATGTCTAGGAATGTAAACAGCTTATGTGCAACGTTCCAGTTGAAACAACACAGCTGTAATAGTTCCCATAGAGATGAAATGGGGCAGCTGCAGCTCAGAAGGTGATCACATAGAACAGAAACAAGAGAAACTGGAATGGAGGTGTTATCACTGCATTCTCTGTTTATATTATGACACCGCCCTTACTTGTGAACACAGGTCCCTGCACAAATCCAAGTAGGGCTGGCAGGGATGTTGCCACAGTTACATGCTGTTGGCCAAACCAGTACAACACGAAACCATTCTAATGACGTCACTGGCAAAAGGGAGTGCTGGGAACACTTTAATTGAAACAGTTTGTTCTTCTTTGCCCAGTTTTCTTTTTTCATACGTCTGGTGTGCATGACACACCTGATGAAAGCATACACAATGATTATGAGGCTGTGCCAAGTTCAGTAGCCCCTAGAGGAATTCAGTCAACATGTAAAGTAACAAGGAGGCTGTAAGTGCTAGAGGTTATGTGAAGATGTTCTGCTCAAAATCTTGATCAGGGCTTAATGAAAAAAAATACAGCTGAGCATCATCCCTATCTGGAAATACACTGATCTTCTCTAAAGTGGTGGTAGGAAAAAGGAAACAAGATATCCATAATACAAATATTTAATTACAAGATGAATAGAAACATTTTCTTTTACATTGCAGGGTAGTTTAACACCAGAGGGTGTTATCTTCCAGAAGTTTACAACGTAGGCTTCACACCATCCAACAGAGATTTCAAAATTGTTTACCCACCCCTCAAAGCCCATGCTTCCATAAATAGTAAAATTAATGTTTTCATCAGAGTCCACGTTCTCGTCTTTGTGGTTAAACGCAAATCCTTTCAATCTGCAGATTCCTGCTTGACAAATATCTCTGATGATGATCATGATGCAGGTCAGACCAACAGTTTGGTTGCCAGCTATATGAAAGTTCACGGTGAAAATGATTTATGTTACCATGGTTACTGTGTAATCCATGTTTTTGCATGCACACTCTGTAATTCTGTCCCCGGTTGTCATCACAGTAGGCAGCACAGCCAGGTTCTGGGTGAATGAAAAAGTAAAACTCTGTTTTCTTGTTTGGGTAAAGGTTTTGGGGTAAGTTGACTTTAAAAGAAAAAACAGCTATGTCTAAACCCAGGAAGTGCTTGTGTTCAACGAATGTGCATAGCATGTCTTGATGGCTTTTCCATGAATCGAAAGTTACCCGCATGTGTGCTGCTTTATTTGTGCTATGGATTACACACACTTTGCCACTTAAAGTGTTGTTGGAAATGTTGCAACTCTCCATTTGGAGCTTCCTCCTTTGCAGACGTGCAAGAAAATCTTCTATGTTTTGTGTGGGCTGAGGGAAATCCAATTGCCGCTGGGGGAGTGGGGCGAAAAAGGGTTCCTTCAGTGGGTCAGGGGAAGAGGAGGAGAAGGGTTCTGTGGTGAAAAGATGCACAGCGGTGAGGTCAAGTCCTTTGTCATCAGCAAACACCACACGTTTCCTGATCATGCTGCTTCTGTTTTTGCGAAAACAGCTCCGCAGGACTGACGACCCTCGAGACAAAGATGGCGATGAGAAGGAGAAGAGTCGTGAAGACTGAAGGTCGGCCCTTCGTGACTGATGATGCACGGGTCGGTCACAAACATTCTGTCTCCGACTTAACGTCATGTACTTGACCAGTTCAGCTCTTGCTCCAGCAGGCTGAGAAATGCTGAAGGGGCGAAGGACTCTGAAAAGTAAAATAAAAGAACACAGCTTTAATACAATGTTCAGTGGAGATGATTTGATGGGATTGCCTAAAAATGTTTAACTTACTGTGTGGAACTCATTTTCCTTCTAGAGGTCTTTTTTGGTCTGTTGCTTTTTCCACGATGCTTGCAGAAAACTTTCTATGATCTAGAGTCAAAAAACAAACGTAATCAAAACCCAAATGAATTCACATAAATACAAACAGCAGAGGAAACGAGCACTTTCAAGTGCTCATTAGAAAACATACTTACAGAGTAGAGAGCAGCATGTATTCCATCAAATCCGTGAGAAGGAAAGGAAGAATCTTGGAACCACTCTGTCTCTGTTCACTCTGAAACCTGCGTGCTGAGTTTTGAAGCAAAAGGGAGAACTCACTGTGATGTCACATCTGCACGAGGACACGGTTTAACCAATCAAACAATGCTGCTTTGTTTATGTCTCACAGCTGGAGGTATTGACTCAGAGGTTTAGTGAGACTTCCTTATCAGGAATCGTATTTCATTTAACAAAAATAACATAATTCAGCGGACGCATCATACTGTTGTTCTTTGAGGGATATTTGATACCACCATGGCTCTATTTATCCGCATCCTGTGAGAGCATTGGTAGGGGGTGAAGGAGACTCTGGATATTTTTTTTGGCTGCCCCTCAATTGAGGGCTTCCAGGGGAGCCCTTCCAGGCTTCCCCTAGCTCCCTCATAATTTGAACCCTGGATTCAACAAATGAGAACAGAAAGTAAGTAAGTATGGAAGTAAAGTTTATTTTTACACTAATTATCACGTAAATAAAAATCACAAAGTGCTTCAGAAAGATAACAAAAAGATCATAAAGTCAAAAACAAAAATAAATCATACATTATAGAGATGAAGAAAACAAAATATTTAAGTAAAAGCTATTTTAAATAAATCTTCAGCTGTTTTTGAAAGGTGTCCAGACTGCCAATACACTATAAAAATAAAGGACGTTTGTTCCAAAGTCGGGGTCCAACAGCCTAGAAAGAGAGATAACCTCAACTTTTATATCTGGTCCTTGGAACTTCTAGAAGGTTCTGGCTGTGGACCTGAAGGCTCGGGTTAGAGCATAAGGCTTTAACAGTTCAGTAATATAAGGAGGAGCTTGACCATGTAGAGCATTGAAAGTTATAGTCAGGATTCTAAAATTAATTCTAAGGTTAATGGGTAACTAGTGCATGGACATTAGAACAGGAGTGATGAGTGCTCTTCTGTTTGGTCGTGTTGGGAGCTTTATTGTTAAAATATGTGAAAAGTGTCTTACAGTAATCTAGACAGGATGAGATATAGGGATGAGTACCGAATTCGGTACTTTTTAAGGTACCGACCGAATTCCATAGTACCGACCGAACACCGATTCACGTCATTTCAAACGGTGCCTCGTTTCGGTACTGCCAAGACAGTTGCGCATGCGCAAGAGCGTTATGTCGCCGGTCCCTGCGAGCCCGTTGTAAACAGAGCAAGCATGGTAGAAAGAACGCACGCTAAAGCTTGGGTCCACTTCACTAAATGTGATGGGTAACTGGGTGATGAAACTAGCGACAGACAACGATCTAAGTGAGACATCCTCATCTTAATCTGCTCCAGTAGGTAAATAAAATGTTTAAGATAACGTTACCTTGATTTGTTAGCTTCCGTTTCACTAATGATGCGTTCGCTTTCTCCTCGGAACTCCGAATTTCCGACTAGAAGAACATGAACGCGCTCTAAAGTTTGGCTTTACTTTACTAAATGCGACGGGTGAATGGGTGAAGGTAAAACCAGCGACAACGATCTAAGTTTGAGGCATCATCGTTTTAATCTGCTCCAGCAGCTAAATAAACCGTTAAAGACAACGTTAGCTTGATATGTTAGCTTCCATTGCCACCGTTGTTATCAGCTAATGGTGCGTTCGCTTTCTCCTCGGAAATTCTAACTTCCCAGTAGGAAAAATCAAATGAAAAAGGACGGCAAAAGGAATGAAGATACACAGTAAATTTAGTTCACAGTAAAGATGTTTGCTTCAGTTTAATTATCAGCTTATAAAACTACAAGGACGATGTTAAAATACAAACTTGTATGTTATTTATCGTGATATTTATCAAATATGGTTATATGTTGAGAAAAATATATATTTAATTATAAAAGAGAATTAAAATAATAAACACTCAAAAGTATCGAAAATTTGTACCGTTAAGTACCGGTATCGACTCGTAGGTACCGGGAATTAGTACCGGATCGATTCAAATGTCAAAGGTACCCATCCCTAATGAGATAAAGGCAAGATCATGTTTTGACACCAAACTTTGCAGTTTGGAGATATTTCTTAAATGATAAAAAGTTTTGGACCAGCATTTTTGAGTGGCCTTCAAGAGGCAATAATTCCCCAAAAACATGTTTTATAAATTATTTTATTTCACGTTTAAACAAACTGAAGAAAGAAGATTTGGGCAAGGCTGACATTTATCATAGATTGTTGTAGGGAAACAAATCTGTTGCAAGAACAGTAAGTAGGCAAAAAAACCTCAAATAGATAATTTTGTTCTTCTAAGATTGAATGAAATGGAGTCATTTGGAGAGAAAGACATGAAAGATTTAGAGTCACAGTCTCTTTTTGGTGGCAGCTGTCAGAAAATCTTTTACCAATCGACAGGACTAACCATAACACCTACATTTAAATTCGAGTTTTAGCAAATAACTTTTAGGAAATCAGACTACAGAAAACAGGTCCTTCTCAAAAAATTAGCATATTGTGATAAAACTCATTATTTTCTGTAATGTACTGAAAAACATTAGCCTTTCATATATATTAGATTCATTACACACAACTGAAGTAGTTCCAGCCTTGTACTGTTTCTAATATTGATGAGTTTGGCATACAGCTCATGAAAACCCAAAATTCTTATCTCAAAAAATTAGCATATCATGAAAAGGTTCTCTAAATGAGCTATTTACCTAATCATCTGAATCAACTAATTAACTCTAAACACCTGCAAAAGATTCCTGAGGCTTTTGTAAAGGATGGGTAGTTTACATCTTACTTATGAACCATAAAATGTGAGATTCCATAGAAATATGAAATATCAATCTGATGGATCTTTGAATATTTTAACCAGAAGATCAGAACTTTTTATTGCAGGGATTACTTGACACTTCATATTAACTCAGAGGAAAGAAAGAGATTAAGGTTTATAATAGTTAAGAAATGTATTTCTACACAATTTAAACAAGACTAACTTTAAACACCCTGTGTACTGATGGACTAAAGTGGAGTGAGACGTGAGATGATGGTGTGTGTGGAATGTTGTTACTAGAACCAGCGGATCCGGAGAAGCATTTAGTTCTGAGTGGGAGTGAATGTTTCACTCTAAACTTTTGTAGGAGTTTTATAACACACTTGAAATTACAAAGACACTTGAAACGCCATCTGTCAGTCTACATACCCAGGGGAAGCCTCCGATTAGATCCAGAATGTCAAGGTCCTCGTGGACCCTCTTTGGAACCAAAGCCGGTAGAAAAGCAGCGGTGTCGACCAAACTAGTCTTGGATTGCTTCCAGGTCACGACAGGTTCATTGGTGTCAGCAAGACCCTGAAGGGGTCGTGTAGGTCAGCTTTTATTCTGAAGGAACCATTGCGGTCAGGTGTAAATTGCAACAGATTTTATCCAGTTTGTCGAGGTTCTTTTGGCTGAAGAGTAAGTCCGGATGGCCTGTCCGAGACTTCTCTAGAACGCTTGAACTAAAGAAAAGGTGGCGTGGAATAGTTTTCATTATTGTCATATTTTGGTTTACTGACGAATCAGAATTTGACATGCGAAAGAGGGTTTATACAAACACCACAGAAAACCACGCCTTGCGCCAGAAACGAAGGTTCTGATTGGATCAGACAAAAGGAAATGTGTCGTGTGACTTTAGCATTACTCTGTGATTAGTGTCTAGTGCAAATGTCCAGGATTATGATTACTTGTAAAATACTACTGATCACAGGATTATAATATCAAGTAATAACATTGCCATTTCACAGACTGATTGAACATTGGGCTCACATTATTATTGGCAATAACAAAGTTGTTTGATTATGTGCTTATCGAGTGTTCTTCGTCTTTGTCTTGAGCTGTAAAAGATGAAGCAGTTCAGATGAGCAAGAGTGCATGAAAGACCTTGGCCAATATCTCATGTAGATTAGGCCTGTCAGAAACTGTATGTCTCTGCTCGAGCAGACACAGCAGATCATGACCTTTAGGTCAAAAACAGGACATTCAAGACGCTACACTTTTGAAAACTCCCAGCCTGCTTCATTACTCAAAACTGCAATCCTGGGTAAGACTGCCGACCTGACTGCTGTGCAGAAGGCCATCATTGATACCCTCAAGCAAGAGGGTAAGACACAGAAATAAATTTCTGAAGGAATAGGCTGTTCCCAGAGTGCTGTATCAAGGCACCTCAGTGGGAAGTCTGTGGGAAGGAAAAAGTGTGGCAGAAAACTCTGCACAACGAGAAGAGGTGACCGGACTCTGAGGAAGATTGTGGAGAAGGACCGATTCCAGACCTTGGGGGACCTGCGGAAGCAGTGGACTGAGTCTGTAGTAGAAACATCCAGAGCCATTGTGTACAGGCGTGTGCAGGAAATAGGCTACAGGTGCTGCATTCTCCAGGTCAAGCCACTTTTGAACCAGAAACAGCGGCAGAAGCGCCTGATCTGGGCTACAGAGAAGCAGCACTGGAGTGTTGCTCAGTGGTCCAAAGTATTTTTTTTTTGGATGAAAGCAAATTTTGCATGTCATTCAGAAATCAAGGTGCCAGAGTCTGGTGGAAGAGTGGGCAGAGGGAAATGCCAAAATGCCTGAAGTCCAGTGTCAAGTACCCACAGTCAGTGATGGTCTGGGGTGCTGGGTCAGCTGCTGGTGTTGGTCCACTGTGTTTAATCAAGGGCAGGGTCAATGCAGCTAGCTATCAGGAGATTTGGAGCACTTACTGCCATGATATGAGTCGTGGCGGACAGCTGCTTATACTGAGCCAGGATCCTCTGGAGGTTTCTTCCTGTTAAAAAGGAGTTTTACTCTCCACTGTCGCTGCATGCTTGCTTAGTATGAGGATTGCTGTAAAGTCACTGACACTAGTCAGTGACTCGATGCAATTTGTTGGGTTCCTTACATGAGGAGCTTTTTTCTGATTGGCTTAATGAATTGGCCTGTATTGGAATGTTTATTATGTGAAGTGCCTTGAGACCACTCTTGTTGTGATTTGGCACTATAGAAATAAACTTGAATTGAATTGACTTGAATTCCATCTGCTGAAAAGATTTATGGAGATGAATATTTCATTTTTCAGCATCACTTGGTACCTGCTCAC